GTTTGGTCACTTTTTCTCGGCTTTACAAAAAAAATTCAGACTTTACTATCGAGATTAAACAAAGGAATATAAAAAAAATTGTTCCTGCCAAAAAGTTGTTTTTGCCATACCATACCACATTATACCATACCCGACATGGTTACCGGCTGGCAACCTATAGCGTTATATTCAGGAGAATCTTCCTAACAAAACTGCGTAAAAAAAATTAATTTAATCCGAATAATTTTTCCCACTCACCCGCCCATATTACCTGGAATAGTACCTAAACACCTACAAGTAAAATTTTGAAGTCGGCTTTCGGCAATATATTTAATAAATTTTATTAATCTAATTTCTAGTACACCACACATACGGTTAAATAATAAAACGACCGATTATGAGTAAATTCGCCGGCACGTGTAGGCCTAGGCACAGCATGTAAATATGTAAACAGTTTAAAACTTTAAAAGGGCTTCTTCCTTTATTTTTCTCATTTATTGGTTATTCTTTATTGTTTATTTTTATTTGAACATGGTCGACAACTATTTTATTGTTTTCAGTTTTCATGTTACTACCGGCTTATCTCTTCAAAGCCTTTTAAGCTTTTAAGGTATACCGACGATCACGATACGTCCACCATCAGGAAATAGGAATAGGGTAATACCGTAATACGAAAAAAAAATTACCGAACAGAGAAATCACACATTTCTTTGTCGACATTTTTTCTTTCTATGTCGTATGATCGAAAATAAAAAATGGTTCATCTAAAAATATCTCGTGCTTCTCGGAAATTTCAAAATCTATTAAACAAAGTGTAATAGGTATCCTTTTAGAAGCCGTAAACTGTATTTATTGGACTTATAGCTATTACCTACTTTATTACTTATATGAAAAGATGGTTGAAGGATTTCTAGGAATTTTTGTTACACCACGTCGTATTTTTAAAGAGATAAAATTATTTACAACCCCATTTTAGCTGCGAATTTTTACTCTAAAGAAGCTATTTTGGCATCAGTGCTGTGCCTTATTTTTTCAAATTAAAACCAACGCCAAAAACAAATTGTTTGTTAATGAACTGAGGAAACTTATATATTATATAAAAACCATATCGCAATCACTTCAAAAAAGGGTTGCCAACATTTCTTCTGCAAAATATAGTATTTTTCAAAGTAAGCTATAAAAAAATATAGTACACGTCAAAAAATACTATTTTATGGAAAAATAAAAAAATAGACAAAGATATGTTTGTTACTTAAAATATATTTTTTTGCACTTGCATTTTTTTCACATTTTTTTGTCTACAACTGGGATCTGTCAAATGGGCATACACCATCTGGTGGCAAAATTTATAACTCGAATGAGGGAAAAATTTACATAGGAACTGTGCACGCAAATTGTAAAACTGTTTATTAAAATAATAAAACACGTTAAAAAAGTAAAAATTTTTTTGATGATGGAGTCGACGAAGTTTTCTTCTAAAGTTAAATCAAATAAAAAGTTAATATGTTCAGTGAAAAGCTGCAATAGCACTTCAGACATAGATCTTCACTCTTCACCTACATTAA